GGTCGAAAACAATCAAATTAGACCCACCTTCAAATAGTGTCGATAAATATGGTTTCAAAATTGGAAATCTTTGACTAGCCTTAAAATATATTTTCATCTCTAATTATAAAATTTAAAGCTTCAAAAATAGTGTAGATCGAACAGATCTATGAAAACTTGAATAATTTAAAAATTGACTGTCCAAAAATGCGTTACAAGACACACTATTTCCAAAACTTGAAATCCATTTTTTTCTCAAGTACATGCATCTTGATGTCGAGAAGATCAATTTGAGGATATTTGGGCATCAAAACAATCTCTTCTAGTGAAATTTTTTATGTAGGCTCTAATTTGATTGTTCAGAGCCTAGGTTCTATATAAACTTTTCCTTTTAATGTATTAAACATATTTTTTATTTAACTTTAAAATTCCCAAAAATACACACCATCACAAGTTGAAAGTTGAAACAATCGAAGAAAGAAAATGGGCAAGAAATGAACTATTTAATGTATTACACATATTTTTATTTATTTTTAAAATTCCCAAAAAAATACACACCATCACAAGTTGAAACAATCCAAGAGTGAAAATGGGTAAAATGTTCAATGGTTCATACCTTAGGTACATTTTGATAAATTTCCATAGACGTGAACCATATTTTGATATCATATTTATATTTTAACTATATTTTGAATATTGATGTAAGAGAATTTGGTCCTTTTAAATACACAGATGATGATTTGAGGGAAATTTAACAAATTATGCGGAATATAGTTATATATCAACTGTTTAACCATTTTTTTCCTTTAGAGTTAAGTTGGGAGATGAGATTGGAGTAGAATGAAATCTATAAATGAAATTCTCTCAACAAAAAAAAAAAATCTATAAAGGAAAAATATACAATGAGACCACTTACCTTTAGTACAAGGTGGTCACAACTATTCTTGACCATTTGATGTGAAATTGGATGGTTGCATTTATCTTATTGATAAAACTCAAATTTCAAAAATAAAATTTTCAAACTTTCTGACATACCCAAGCTATATTTCCCACGGGATGGCAATAAGAAGGGTGTGGTTTCTATTAGGTTGCAACCTTAAACAATCCAATTAAGGCGCACCTCAAAATTTTATCATAATATGAAATTTTGATGTAAAAAATTCTTAGGATTATATCAAAAATCTATTTTCATATTTAATTATAAAATTTTAAACTCCAAAAATAGTTAAAATCACGCAAATCTATAAACATATGAAAATCTTGAAATTGGACAGTCTAGATAATGTGCTGCAAGATGTACTATTTCTTGCACTCAAAATCTTATTTTTTTTCATATTGCTATATCAATATGATCAATTAGAAGGTTTATCAATATTAAAACATCTTTTCCGATGGATTTTTTAAGTGCATATGTAATTCTACATTTTTAAGGTTACAACCTTATATAAACTTTTTCCAAAAAGTTTATATCAATCTATAAAGCTACAACCCAACTTATTGAAATAGGGCTGCAGTCATCTTCACCGTCTATTCATTTGGACAATGAAAATTCTTTACAGGACCCAACAATGGAAACTGGGACTTCAGGTACCCTGTTGCACGCCCATATCCTTACCCTCTCAAACTTCTCTGGTACTCCCATTTTCTAACAAACCAGCATAAGATCACCGAATCATATGAGCCATGGGAACAACAACTCAGTGTTAACAAGTCAAACCGGACTTGGAAACTAGCCAAGGGCTGGGTTCGAGTAACTCAGAAACCGGCCAGTTCACCTGGCTTAACTAGGCTGGTCCCGAGCAGGCCAAAAGAGGTAAAAAATTGAAAGCAAATCTTAAAAAAGTATGAAATGTATATTGAAAGCAAAGTTAAACAAAATACATCCAAATAAAGTTGAATTTTTTTTCAAACAACTGAATGGACCACCAAAACCGGCCAAATTTGACTCGGTCAGTAGCGAGTTTCGATTTACTGGAACGATTCCGAGTTAGACTTGCCGATTTGTGGAACACAGCAACAACTCAGAAGGTGCCTAAGAACATTGGTTGAGCCATGGAAACATCAAAAACCCCCTCTTTCTCTCTCTCCGTCCTTCCCTCTCTCTCTAACGCTTTGTCACTATCCTCCAACCCTTTAAAAAATTATACCCCAAAAGTGGGTTCCTCACCTCATCCTCCTCTTTAAAAGCAGTTTTGGCCTAAGGCATTTTTGCATCAAATTCTCGATGTTTTAATGGAGTTTTCAGAATTTCAATATAATGTCTTGACAGCAAACTACAGAGCAATGTCCCCATGAAAAACACATGGCCATAACTAAACCACCAGATAAGCAGTTTTGGACTCTAAATAAATGGTTTTGAATTCGCAAAAAGCAGTTTTGAAACCGGCAAAGTGGTTTTTTGTCAGTAATTTGATGGCTGGAAAATGGCTTTCCAGTGTGGTTTCCGGGATGAACTGGTAGGTTGCAGGCAAGGAATTCGTTTACACTATAAAAAGAGGAGAGATCCTCTTTCCCTACTCGCTCACCACACGATCTGTTTCAGATCACAAGAAGACCTGTATTTTTCTTTTTTTCTTTTTTTTTTTTTTTTGAAGGGTTAAGATTTGAGAATAAAAATCTAATGAGGTTTTAACAGGAAACAATGGGAGTAAAAGCAGGTTTAACTTGGGCTTTTGGTTCCCCGTCAACCTTGAAAAATCCTCACCATCCAAAGTAGGGTACGGTGTAGAATGCTGAAGATATTCACTATTTAAATATGGGTGCGGTTTTAGAGCAGCCTACCTTCAAATAGTACAGTGGTTTCAATATTAAAAATATTTGTGATAGCTTTAAAATATAATTTCATCTTTATTTATAAAATGGAAAGCTGTGTAGATCGATATATTTATGAAAACTTGAAAACTTCGAAAATTGACTGTTTAAAAATGAGTTACAAAATATACTATTTTTAAAAATTGAAATCTATTTTTTTCACATCTCCTTACATCTTGATGTCGAGATGATCAATTTAAGGATATTTAAACATCAAAACAACCTCTTCTATTGTAATTTTTGTGTAAGTTCCAATATGATTGTTTAGAGCCTTGGACTGTATATAAACCTTCCCCTTTAAATATTAGTTAGCAATGTTAGTGGCAACCGCTGCCCACGCGAGGCCATGCCTTTCACTATTTAACTCTACGCTATTTTTTTTTTAAGAAAGTGCTTGGTGTGTCGGCCGACTCATACTACTATTTTCAGTCTTCCGATAGGATATATCTCAAAGATGCATATTCGATCTAAAATTTGTAACGTTGGATATTCTCAACCATGACAATGATCCAAATTTGAATTTTTTATTTTTTTAAAAAATATATATGTTATTATTTGAATTCCTTTCTTTCCTAACTATTTTAACTTTCTGTGGATATAACATTTTGGGTATGGTATCTATAAGGTTGTAACCTTAAACAATCCAATTAAGACGTACCTCCAAATTCTATCATAATATGTAATTTTGATGTAAACAATTCTTAAGATTATATGAAAATTTCTGTTTAGGACCCAGTTTCTATGTGGCCAAGCCCGCATAAGTAGAAATGTGGACCTCTTAATAAATATATTTTTGAGATAGATTTTAAGACTTAATTTTTAAAGACATGTAATCTCTAATATGGAGATCATGAATATGAAAAAATAAATAAATTTTTAAAACTAAAAATAATAATTCTAGTAAACTTAAAAAACTAAAAATAATAATTCTGGACTATTGGTTTTCATTATTTTTACATGGAACCCCTACTTGCATCTATCTTTAAGATGGAGGATTTACAATTTCTAGACCGCATATATAGAAATGTGGTCTAGCCCGCATGAAACAGTTTTCCTTTTTTTTATATCTAATTATAAAATTTTAAACTCCAAAAATGGTTAAAATCAAGTAGATTTATAAATATCTGAAAATTTTGAAAATGAACGGCCTAGATAATATTTTGCAACATCCACTATTTCTAATACTCAATTTTATTTTATTTTATTTATTTTTCATATTCATATATCTCCACCTCGAGATGATCAATTAGAGGGTTTTTCAACATTAAAACAACCTTTTCCGACGATTTTTGAAGTGTACGGATGCAACCTTATATAAATTTTTTCCAACATTTTTTTTTGATATCGGTAGATAAGACAAAGGACCGTACGACAATAGGTGAGTCGGCTGACTCACCAAAACCATGTCCTTTTTTTTTTTCTTTTTCTTTTTTTTATCCCACGTTTAAAAGAACATCAAGTGCACTCATAGACATTAAAAATAAGGTGTCCACCTCATACCATATTAAAAACCTGCCAACTTATCATCTAAAAAAATAATAATAATACATCTCGTAACACTTTAAAGAAAAGGTTTCTATACTTCTTCTATAACGTAGAATATAAATGCACCCCCAGCCCTCTCATTTAGATCACTCGCCGTCCAACACCTCAACTACTTTATTTTTAGTTTGCTTTTTTTTTTTTTTACAAATTATAAAATATAATGATTAAAATACACTTTGAAACTTTTAAAAGAATTTTAGTCATTTTATTTTATTACAACTATTTTTTTACACTTTTTACAAATGCGAGTTTAAGAGAGAAATGGACGCTCAAAATGTTAAAATATTTTATAGAAAAAATAAAAAATAAAATAGCATAAAAAAGCGACATTGTGACAAGGATCATCTCAACCATCCATTCAAAACGGACGGTTGGATAAAAAGAAATATACAAGTTCTATGCGCTAGGGGAAGCATAACAAGCTTGCCGATTTTCAAGTGTATAGATCTGCTCAATTTATACTTATTTTTTAGTCTGTCCCCCGAGTCTTTTAAGTCTAAGTCCCTACTCCTAAATTTGCGTAAAGAACACAATGCATCATAATTATCTTTTACTTCCATGTTAACAAATGTTGTACACATTGCCAATGGAAAGAATCCCATATCATTGACTGCAAGGGGTTTCAACAAGAGAGCACCCACTAGAAAGAGTGATGCACAGGTTACATCTTACCACCCAACGATGTATACTATGCCGAATACATCAATCGCAAAGAATCATATATTACCACATGATAAATATTGAGCCTTTAATTTATTATCACAGCATGAACAAGAAACTATCGAACTTAAATAACATCACAAATCCTCCCAATAATATAAATAAAGAGAAAGATCGCTGTCACGAAAGAAGCAAAATTTCAAAATCTAAAGCCTATACTTTTCTCCAAGGCCAAAGTGGAGAGCACCACATACCTATGTACAAATAACTAAAAATGTGGGTCTCTCTAACCTTTGAGCACCCCAAGCGTGACCAGGGCTGACCGTATCTCTTTGCTGCCATGTCCTTCATCAATTGTCACATTCTCAGAATGCTCTAGTGAAACAACATCTGTAGAAGTATAGCCTCTGTTGCCAAGATGAGAGGGAACACTGCAACCAACACCCTTCAAAATTAGGGTTTTGGGAACCCCTCCGAGCAATCCATTGTAATCAGTGTTCCCGGTTTCACCAACAATGACCACCATATTCGATAGCTCCATACCCCATCGTAAATATAAATACCTGCAGAGGACAAAAGATCAGGAAATGCTCACAAGAATCCTGAATCCCATGCAGGATTTGGGTCCATTACTGTAATTCAGAACCATGTAAAATGGTTTCCTACTGTTTTTTACCTCATTTCAATTTTTGTTTTTTAAATCTCTCTCTCTCTCTCTCTCTCTCTCTCTCTCCTCCTCC